CTTGGTGCAGGACTGGGAGGTGTTTTGTTCTGTTGTACATAGTTCTATATGGGTGGGAACAGACTAGATGGCACCTAACAACCTAACAATATGCTGTTGCTATTTTGAGAAGCTATTAGTTATTTCAAGAAAAAAAAAATTTAGACAAGTACCTGGTATGTACCTAACATTTACTGAATATTTACTTTTTTCTTTTTCTGATTTTAAATATATGTTTACCAAAAGTTGTCTGACAAATAAGCTTACAACAAAGGAATAAAATATAAAAAGTAGCTGCTGAGGCTGCTTATGGACAACCAGAGACCTCATGGAATCTGGTTCCTTGGTTTGGAGTTTTAAGGTCATCATTTCATGGGCTCTTCCAGTTAACTGGCTTAGTAAAGTGTTTGATGCTTCTGTTCTACCTCCTTGTTTACTGGGTAGTGACTGGGGTCTTAAAAGTTTGCAAGTGACCATCCAAGACATAACAGTGGCTCTCGATTTGCCTAGAGCAACAGAAGAAGGAGAGTCAGGAATAGGAGGAAGATAAGGAATGTGTGGCTAATGCCTATGACTAAGAGTAACTGCAACCTTTGACATAAAACCTGAAGAACTGGATGAAACCCAACTACCATTACTGAACATTTTGATAACAGATTCAATAGAAGAATGCCAATCGACAGAAGGAAAATGCAGAGCAGAATTTCGTCTCTTATGCACTCCAGAGTTTTTGGAGCTATGGAAGTTGTATGAACCTCTGAAACTACTGCCAGGAGGTCTTTGACCAAAAATATCCACTGAAATTTTCTTAAAACCAAACAATAGCTTAGCTAAACTAATAAAGTGTCAGCCTTGAACACTGTGCTCTTTCAAGATCTATCTACAGGGGATCAAACAGACAGCAGCATAAAAGAATAGATGGGAACTTTAGGGGACAGTGTATTTATGTTAATGAGGAAAGAAAAACTTAAAAAATGAGTGTGAGAATGTAACTGATGTCATTGAATTATACATGTATATTCTTAACAACAACAAACAAATAGAAGGGAAAAAGACATGTGTTTACCTTCTGCTTAGTATATATGACAAGGGTGACTAAAGACTCTGTTTGGAACCAGTCATAGCTGTAAAATATTAAGAATGCATAATTATACTGACAGTCATGCCTATTAAAACATATTAAAATCATTAGATGTTTAAAATGTACAGTGAAAAATATTTCTCTAAGTTAAACCTTTTCTAAATCAATGGTGGTCTTATCATGTTAAGCTCTTCAATACATAACTGAAAAGTATTCTTAAATTTAAAATACCTTATATTTTCATGTGTTCCAAGTTGGATAAAAACAAAAAGATATCCTTGGCAGAACACTTTCTAGAAAGATTATACATCTCCTTACTAAAATACTCTTCTATCAGAAACAAAATAGAGCACCACAAATTTTGACAAGAAGCATAAAGAAATCTACATGCTTATGTTCTTCATTTTCCCCTTTACAACTATATTCTAAGAAATTAACTCATCAGGTAGTTTATTAATAGGTCAAGTAAAACTTAAGGTATAACTAAGTCTATTTGGCTATAGTTATCGGTCAAATTGATACTGATTAAATTGACAGTTAATACCTAAAAGGCACCCACAGGCAAATCCTAGAATCCCTTTACTTAAAAATGCATATGAAATAATTTAACAGATTTAACAAACATAGCATTACATTGCTGTTAAAATCATATAAATTGGCAATGCAGAGAAAGGAGGTTCAAGAAAAAATTACTTATTAACTGTGCAGCCATTTCAAATGCCATTAACAAAAATATCCATCTGTTGTTCAATTCACTGTTAATTAAGATAATTAATTTGTAATACATTTTAAGAGGTTTTAAAAATAGATAAAACAACCTAGGTATATAAAAGTATAATCATTAAATTATGATTTGGCCATATACTGAAAAATAAAAAATGCTTTGTCAGACTATGACATAGGCTATTGTTCATAGGATATACTACGATATCAACATTATAAAAATAAGAAATAGAGGATGTATTAATCAAAATTTGATGAATAAACCAAATGTCAAGAACTGATGGAATTAAAACCATTGCTTCTTTTATTATTTTCTTTTTGTATTTCTCCGAATTTTCAATGTTTTACATCACAAATATAAATATTTTTAAATCAGAAAAAAATATTTAAAAATATTATTTTAAACTTTGGTGTTAAAATGTGAACTATAACAAAAGTTCACATTATAAAATGTCTCATTTTTCAATAATGCCTAGTACACGAGGAACTGCAGTTCATGTGTCAAAGAAACAGTAAACAATATATTAAACCCAGAGCTATTTTGTTTTGGAAAATGTGTTTAAATAAGTAAAATAAGAATGCATACCTTGGGGAACTAGGATGCTCTTTGGAAAGCATATCTGTCATTTGGCTCTTAGGAAGCATACCTTCACAAACATAAATGAAATAAAATATAATACCTGCCATTCATTCACACAGCATTTTTTAGTCAGTTTTTTGTTATTGTTTCTATTTTTTTAAAGGAAACTTCTGATTAAAATATTACTTATATATTCAAAGGAGACACAAATCATAAATTCACAACTCAATGAATTTTTACAAAGTAAACATATATTTGGTAGCCAGTATCCACTTCCTGCTACCTTCCAATCATTAT